GACTGGGGGGGGGGCTTTTCAGCCTGGCTCAGTCGGTAGCATCTTGCTTCTGGGTTCGACGGTTGTGTGTTGAATAATAATAATAATCTTTGCATTTGATACAGCGGCTTATCACGTCATTGAGACGTCTCAAAGTGCGTCACAGGAGAGAGAGTAAAGTGAATTGACCGTATATTTTGTGGGGGAGAACGCCAAGCTGCCACGAAGGTACTTTGAGCTAACACACAACTGACAAAGAGAAACAAAGGCCACCGTGAAATCAATGAATGCTCATTTGCACAATCCTTTCTGCGCTGGATATTAACATTGAATGTTTCTCTTCACTCACTGGGTCGTAACAGGATCTTTTCCCAACACCGGCCAGGCTGGGGAGGCATGGATTATTTTTTTGGGGGCCATCACGTTCCCTGCTCTCTGGAAATCCCTTCACCTCGCTCATTTCCCCACCCCCATTATCTTCAAAGCCCTGTCCCTGACCTTTCTCTCTTCCCCCTCAGGGCTTTGCCCGCCTTGCTCAGTGTCTCCTGTGAGGAGCTTTGTGAGACATCGTCGATCTGAAGGGCTCCGTGTAACTACAGGTTGTTATCGTTGCTGTTATCTTCGACCTCGTTTGTGGCTTCCTGCGCTGGGATCAGCCTTGATCTGTCTGCTGAGAGGGACAAAAAACCCTCTGGGGCGGGTGGGGGGGAAAGAGTCCCTCCTTCCCATTTGAGATATCTCCTTCCCTGAAGGGACGTTCCCAGCCTCTGTCAACCATCTCTTTCTGAAGGTTTGGCTGGAATTTGGGCATTGAGTAAGTGCCAGCATCTCACTGCGTGGGAGAGGCCGGGGATACTGACCGATGCTAAACAGAGGTACTCCCTCCCCTCCCTCCCCCCCTCTCTCCATGCTATCACACACCATTAACATCTTCCTTTTCAATCTGACCTCCACCAACGTGCCTTGTCTTCTGCTTTAAGACGTCCTGAAGTTGGCCTTAACTCTCTGAGCCCCAAGGTTGATTGGAGTGGCGCGAGCGTGAGGAACGAGAATAAATGGAGGAGGACAGCAAGGTGGACACGTCTCTCTCTCTTTCTCTCTGTTTTTTTTCTGACTTCGCTGTGTCGCAGATTTTCGACCAGGATATTGGGAGAACTTCTTTCCCTTCTCCTCACGGACTGGGCTTGCGGGAGATTTTTTTTCACATCTGGCCAGCGGAGCAGGGCACAGACAGCCGGGAGCTCGGTTTAAGGTCTCATCTGAAGGACTGTGCCTCCAAATGCAATTACCCCAACACACATTTTGGCCGCCACCCCCCTTCCCCCCCCCCACCACCCAAGCCTTGTTTTTTGCCAACCTGCGCCTAATACTTTCTGGAATTCGATGAGCAGGATGCATCCCTCCAGGGAGAGAGAGAGCGTAGTCCATCCAACAATCTATCTCTGGAGTTTCCATGTGAAGGTGGGATGAATTCTCAGTTTGGTTTCGATACTGTTAAGCACGGTGATGGATTTCCACATCTATCAGATACCCAGTTGACCACCTCCACCGCCCCCCTCCGCCCCCCCGCACCCCCTCACCACCACCACAAAAAGACCCTGTTATCTATCCTTTGTCCTGTGATAAGAGGAGAGTTTCTCATCCCTGTAATCTGCTAGGATTTCTGAAATGTCTCCTAAACTGTATCCGATTGATGAAACCATAATCCCCACTTCACCCTCAGATTTACAACTGCTCACCATTACTTTGCATCATATAAATAATAATTATCAATCAATCATGCAAGGCTAAATGAGGATTTGTAGCACGCATCAAGCCTTTGTATTTAAGGAGATTGTAATTAATTTAGCTCCGGGCAAATTGGTGAAATAAACACTCTTATTGGCACTCGGCGATCTATCATCATGGTGACACGTCAATCAAAATCTTCAGCTGAGGCTTGAGGACACAATAAGATTTTGCTCGCACTCAAGAATTAATTGCTAGGAGTGGGAGTTGGAGCAGAGTCAATGAGGTGAGCGGCGGTGGGGGTTGGGGGGGTGGATATGGGTTCGGAGGGACCTAGATAAGCACAGGAAAGAGAACATTTACCAGCATTGAGCCCAACAGTCTTGGGGCATCCTCCTGATGTGAAAGGCACTGTGCAAATGTAATTTGTTGTTGTTGCTGTTGTTGGTTCTTCCCAGTAAACCACTCAGAAATACTTCCCGGTGCCCGCACTCCACCCCACCCAGTCTTAGCCTGAGATATGAATAATAATAATCTTTGCACTTGATGCAGCGCCTTATCAAGTCGTTGAGACATGTCAAAAGTGTTTCACAAAATATACTGTAAAGTGTATTTTGTGCATTTTGTGGGCGAAACGCAGCAGCCAATTGCGCACGGCAGTGTCCCACAAACATTTGTGGATTGAGTGATTGAATTAATTTTTTGGGGAGGGGAGGGAGGGACTATTACACCTGGAAAGTGATCTGCCAATTGACTACTAAATTATTATTAATGATAACTAATTATTATTTATCCAACTAAACTACACAGAGTCTTGTCACAAGCCTTTTGCAGCCAGGCGGGTAAGTGGTTAGCGCAATTGTTGTTGCAGTAAATTAGAGCCAACTCATATTGACCAGATCGCTTTCGGTCAATCCGCAATCCGATTTGTAATTAAAATGCTGGATAGTTTACAGAAGTTTACATGAGCCAGTGGCTGGGTTATTGAGACAGATAAGGCAAATATACGTTGGGAGTTTTGTAGGAAACAGACTTGAAGCACTTGAAGAGAATGAGAATACATTTACAATGTGCCGTTCACATCGTTCCCAAGTGCTCGATTGCTCGGAGTCAGGAGGCTGTGGGTTCAAGCCCCAGGTTGAGTTTTTGGACTCCTAGTCGAGGCCGATGCTCCAGTGCAGAGCTGAGGGGTGGAGTGTGGCACTGATGGATGTACCATCCTTCGGATGAGATGCTAAACTGCGCCTGTGCCTTTTCAGGTGGACCTTAGAAGATCCTGTGGCGCTATTAGAAAAGAGAAGGGAGTTTTTCTCTCCTGGTGTCCTGGGCTGACAATGCCCCAGATTAAAAAAAACCAGTCGTTCGCTTCACGGCTGTTGTGGGACATCGCTGGGTGCAAATTAGCGTTCCTACAAAATACACAGCCGCTGCACATTACAGTAAATAATAATAATCCTTGCATTTGATATAGCGCCGTATGACGTCTCAAAGCCCTTCACAAGATGTACTGTAAAGTGAATTGATTGCAGATTTTGTGAGCAAAACACGGCAGCCAATTGCGCACAGCAGCATCCCACAAACACTCGGGAGTTGAGTGACCAAATTCTTATTTATTTACCTTCAGAGGGATTATTAGTATCCCCGGCAAAACAATCTGCCAATTGACTAATCCAGCAAAATGCTTGGAGACATCCTCCTATCACGAAAGGCTGTTTGTATCAGATGTAAGGATTATTAACATAGAATTATTATACTCCGCTGTGTATTATTTTTCCAGCCGCCCTGAATATTAAACCCTCCTTAGAAAAACAGCGGTTTTGCCAACAGCCTCAAGTCTCCTCATTCCCTCTATGGTCTCATGTCGAGCTCACAAGGCGATCGATCAGACTCTGTACAAGTGGCACAATTGTTGCTCGATCAACGTAACGGTTGCAAACAAAGATGGTCTTTTTTTTCCCCCCTTATCGAAATCTGCATTTAAGAGCATGAAAAGCACGCAGCAGTTTGATTCACGCTATTATTTGCTGTGTGCTTTCCCAAAACGTCTGCTGATAGGTATTGTAATGTGCCGGAGTCCTAATTAAAGCAGGAAATGGCAAGCTACGGGGAGGTATTATGTGTATTCAGAGATTTAAATGGGCTTCCATTGCCTGGAATTGATAAAAATGCTCTCGGTGTGTGTTGAACATACAGAGCACTCTCTCGCCTCCCCTCACTCCCGTAAATTGCACCTCACAGCGCTGGTCTTCGCAGCATGTAATTGGAAGAAAACCATGGGCGTTCATTAAAGAACTCGCTAAGAAAACAGCACAAGTTAAGAGTCCAACGTTGCATTCATACTAAGTGCTTCTCTCTCTTTTCGAAAAAAACACACACACACACACAGTACTAATCCGTCCCTTATTCCTACAAATGAATCCTAATCGTTTGATCCATCCAGTTATCATCTCGGCAACAGTTTGCTAAGTATCGCCAGACTCGAACCCTTAATATTTAACCAGCCTGTCTGTGACAAATAGCTGTTTAACTCTTCAACGGCATCGGCATGAATAATGAAAACGGGTTTAATGCACAAAAAAAGGCTGGAATAAAGCTTTAATAAACTAGGAAACATTTCAGCGTGTCTGTGCGGGCTCTCTGAAAGATCTCTCTGTTTAGGCCCCCACCCCCCCTCTCCCCCACCATAATAATAACCCTTGCATTTTTGATACAGCGCCTTATCACATCTTCGAGACGTCTCAAAGCGCTTCACAGAATATACTGTAAAGTGCATCGAGTGTTTTATTTTGTGGGCGAAACATATGAATTGCTCGACAAAAGAAGACCAAGGTCCATCAGGTGCGCTAATGACCACTGAGCCTCCGACTGAACGCTCCACAGGATGTTTTGCTTTATTACAAGGTTCCCCCCTGAAAGCTGCTCAGATCTCATTGCGTTGTCTTTTGATCCCTCCCGCCGCGCTGCTTCTGTGACGAGCTGTGCGATTTGCAACGTGTCACTCCTAATTCCCCTTCCAACGGAAACGACCTTGTTACTCCGCGTTTGAACCGGACTAAAGCACGACTCTCGGCCTGCAAGCATTCCGCACAGCACCTTTCCCGTTGGGAGAGCGTCCCAAGGCGCTGGACGGGCAAGGGTGTGCACCCGAGCTGGGGGGCGGGTGTTGGGGATCAGGAGGGATGGAGGTCAGGGAGGGTGGAGGTGTAAGCTCTGCAACCAAGCAAAATATAACTGCGTTGTGACTGTATCTCTCTGTGACTGTGACTGTGTCTGTCAGTGAGTGCGAGTAGTACCTGCACATTTAGTCCTGCTGATGAGTGGAGGCCCCGCTCCGCCTGTCCCACCATCCCCGGGTCTGGTTAGCAGAACGCTGATCTGGTACTCGGTGTCGGGGTCCAGGTGCCACAGCTTGTAGGTGGGGTTGTTGACGGCGTGAACCTCCGACCACAGCCCCGATGTCATCTGGTATTCGATCTCCTTGCGAATGACAGGCCCGTCCCCGTTGATGGCGTTGGTGTTCAGCTGCACGATCAGGTAGGTGGAGCCGGCACGGACCAGGTGCGGAGGAGACCGAGGCGATGGAGGCTCTGAGGTTTGGTGGGGTGGGGAGGTGGGGGGGGGGAAAGGAAAGGGAATAAAATGATCAGGTGTCACAGCAGAGCCATTTCCTTTGGTCGACTGGGTGTCCGTCCAACACACGCGGAAACTCAACCCATCAGGAGTCTCCGAACCAAAACTGAGGGCTTCACACACAACAACAAATTACCACAACAAATCACATTTGTGCAGCGCCTTTCATGTCGGGAGGACGTCCCAAGGCGTTGGAAATTCCTGCGTTTGGGGTGGAATGTGCGATTTCTCTCTCTGTAGTTTCCCCCCCCCCCATCCACCCACCCCTTTATTTATCTGATCCTCACAGCACGAGCCAATCTAATCCCATTCCCCCAAGGTCCTAAATTCCAACTAGTCTTAGCACTGATGTTTTTTCTCTCTCTCTCTCTGTGCAGTTCTTAAAAGAAACTTACGCAGAAAACAAACACACTTCAATAATGAAGGTGTTTAAGAATTTGACAAACGGATGCTCCAGGCGATACATAAATAGAGTAGAATTTAATCCTGGGGAGAGAATTACTCCCCCATTAGTACTTCAAACGGTAAACAGCACCTCTCTCCTTGAAATGTGGGCGGATCATTCCGCTCATTCCGCTCGCATTTTACGGTGAATCTGCGGGATTTGTGTTGTGCGTGTTTGTGTGTGTGAGCGGGTGTGTGCGCGCGTGTGCGTACGTGTCCATGTGCGTGTGTGTGCGTGCGTGCGTGAGAGAGAGTGTGTGTGGGTGTGGGTGTGTGTTGTTGCGTTCGTTCGTGGACTGTTAATAGAATTTCCCAAACGTAATAATTGACTGCGAGTCGAGCTGTACTGTCTGCAGGCAATCAATTTCGCGAACCTGATAAGACTTAACGTTGCCAGGCAGAGGTGGGGGTGGGAGGGGGTGGTGGGGGGGGGGGGGGGTTGGTTGCACGGGAACCGCTCCCGTCAACCGAGGCACGGTCTGCGCCGTTTCACACGGAGACGTCCAAGTCGGGGGAAAAAAAGCAAGGAATAAGTTTTTCCGCCGCAAAACAAAATACGCAAAGATAAGCTCCCGAACTGGTGCGGGGAAGGGAGCCGTCGTTCACGTGCGTCAAGGTTGCTTAAAAATACACACCTTTGTTTTTTTTTTGCGGCGGGGGTGGGGTGGGTGTGCGGGGAGGGGGGGGGTGGGCTTGGCAATCCGTCGAAAGAGTGTGTTAAAAAAAAAAGGCAGTAGAGCACACACAGGCTCCGGCACGATATCTGAGGATGGAGTCCAACTCCTCTTCCTCTCACTTGCCTGCAGTTATGTGGGTGGACTCCCCCTCTGCCCGATCCCCCTGCCCTCGCCACTATCTCTCTTCCACCCGCCCCCCCCCCAACCCCCTCCGCTTACTCCCCATTTAAAATCTTATTCTGCCGCTGCGGCGTTTTGCCCGTGAAGTCAGTCCACTCTGCGGTTTATTCTGCGAAGCGTTTTGAGACGTCTCGAAGACGTGATGAGATTGTCTCCACACACACATCCCCCCCCCCCCCCGCCCCACTCCCCCCCCACCGGCCAGTGATCTGCTCAGCGAGATGCGATCTCGGTCGGCATGTTTACAGTCAGACCCCAAGGAAAACACACGCACACTGTAAGAGAGACAGAGACACCGGGAGAGAGAGAGAGAGGGGGGGGGAGGGAGAGAGACAGACAGAAAGGAGATAAACCGCACGTTACTTCAATGCGAAGCAAATGAAAGGCACCACAATAGACGCTTTAAGCTGTCAGCGTGTTGAGAACAACAAGGCCCTGATCCGAGGGGGTTGAAGGCTCATAACTACAGATTCCCGTCGCAAAAGCTGCCGGCAATTAGGGACGGCGATTCGACGGGAGGATTAAACGCGAGGGCGCCGGGCTGACACACGGACCCGTTCCTCCGTCTCAGGGTTTTGAGTCACACTTAGCGGCGGTGGCGCTGGGGGATTAAAACGCCGGGCTCGCCAGGGGCTGGTTCCCGCGGAGGAGAACGCGGGCGTTGGCGCGGGAACGTGGGAATGCTGGACGACAAACGACCCAGGTCCAACGAGTCGGAACCCCCCCCCCCCCGTCGTGCGGCGGTTAGCCCGCGCGCCTCGCCAGCGGGAGGGAAAACGCAGTAAAGTTTGCTTACTCCGCACGGCTCTGTTTACCGAGCAGTCAGTAGGAACCCGGTTGTCTGCGTATCGGTAGAGAAACGCGATGATGATGATAATTATAATAATAATAATGATGATGATGATGATGATGGTTTCGCCCCCCCCCACCAAAAAAAACCCCAGTCTATCCACTTTATAATATATTTACAACAAATTCTGCGAAGGGCTTTGGGTCTCAACGACTCGATAAAGTGGCTATAGCTGACCGACCACAAGGATCATTATTATTATTATGATTAATAACAGTAATAATTCTTACGTTTGATCCCTCGCCTTTCACATCGGGGAGGGGGCAAGCGCTCAACACGGCAGCCCCTGGGTCCGAGCTGAGGTGGTGGAGGGGGGAGAGCGAGAGAGTGGGGGGGGGGTGTTGTAGCGTGTCGGAGCGTTCAAGCCTGAAGGGGCGAGCGTTACCTTTGACGATCAGCTCAGCGAAGTTGGAGACACCGGCCCCTCGTCCCGACTGCGTGACGCAGCGATAAAGATCCTGATCTGGCAGCGTGACTCCGTGGAGCTGAAAGGTAGCGAGGACCCGCCGGGGGCTGGTACGCGTGACCTGTGTGGCCGGGATGCTCGCTCCCCCGCTCTGCCTCTGTGGAAACCAGACCGGGGAAACGGACGTGAGAGCGGCTTTGAGTGCTTGTGTGCGCGCGCGCGTGTATGTGTGAGCATGTGTGTGTGCGTGCATGTGTGCGTGCGTGTGTGAGTGTGTGCTCCGTGAGGGGAAGAGTGAACAGGGCGGGCGAGAGACATCACAGAACTTTACAGCACAGAAGTCGGCAACTCTCTTGGAAAGATCAATCCAATCAGTCCCACTTCTAGGTCTCCCTCCCTCTCTCTCGTGCCGAGTGAGAGCGTTGGGTCTCCTCTGTTGGGTTGGGTTGGGTGGACGGACCCACGTGGATTTGGCGGTCCAGTGCCAACACCCCCCCCACCCTCCCCCACCCGCGGCCCCCACCCCGCTCGCTCACCTGCAGAATGAGCGTCTCGGCCTCCGTGGCCCGTCCAGCCGCCACGCACTGGAAGGTGGCGTTCTGCCCCCTGTTGGTCTCCACGTCCCCCAGGCGCAGGAAGTGCGGAGCTTTGACTGCAGACAGCACGACACGGTTCACGTCAATCGCCGGCAATAACCCGAATAACCCTCGCCTTCTGACACAGCGCCTTATCGCGGGGTTGAGACGGCCCAAAACGCTTCGGGGCACACGGATGCTGTGGGCGAAACGCGGCAGCCAATTGCACAAACAGGCGCGGATTGAGTGACCAATTTTTGGTAGGGATTATTACCCCCCACCCACCGCCCCCGTTCCTACTTATCGGTCACTCACTGTGTGGCTGTTGGCGCGGACGTCACTGTGGCCAAAATTTAGCTGCCGTGTTCACCTACTGAACCCGCGGTCGCTACACTTCACGGGCGACGCCGCGAAGCCCCTTTGAGACGGTTTCCCGACGTGAAATCAGAACCCGGGGATTATCGTTGCTGTTAAGATCGAAAGCCACGTCTGCACGGTTATCCCGAATAAACCACGAGTTGGGCTGGCGAGCGGGGAGAGAGAGAGAGAGAGAGAGAGAGAGAGAGAGAGACGGCAGCTTACAGCAGGGGTAGTTGAGGATCAGCAGGTCATCGATCCCGATGTAGCCTTTTCGTTCCGCGGAGACCACGGCCTCGAAAATAACCTGTCGATTAACGGAGAGCAGGGCAAAGAGGGGGTTAAATACCATGATAATAGTCCTCGTGGGTCGGCAGACACACAGGTACACACACAGATACGTAGACAGATACGCAGAGAGATACGCAAACGTACACAACCAGATACGCAGGATACGCAGACAGTTACACAAACAGATACGGAGACAGATATGCAGACGGATACGCAAACGGATACGCAAACAAGATACACAGACAGATACGCAGACAGATACTCGGAAACACACACAGATTGCCGAACGAACCGCACAAGTCCCAGGAACGTGTGACACAAACGCAAGCCCACTTGGCCCATTTTCCTGCCTCGACGTTTGCTCCTTCATCCCAATTCCCCGCTCCCTCCCGGCCCCCCCTCTAATCCCCTTCCTCTGCACGTGCAACTCCAACTCCCCCTCAAATCCTCTCGGCCTGATCTGGAGGACCCATCTGCACGGTGATGGGTCAGACGCCCGGCTGACCAAAACCAAAAAGTTTTTCTCCGGCTGGAAAAATGGTGACTGAGCGCGGCATTAAAGGTGATTTGCTTCGTGTTCAACAGACTCCTCTTATGGAGGACTCCTTCAACAACTAAAGATGTGTGTGTGTGTGTGTGTGTGTGTTTCTGACATTTCTGAATAGATTGGTTTTGTTCATTCAAACCCTCTTTCCTTTTCATCCCCAGAATCTGCGAGGCAGCTTCTCCAGCCCTGATAACAGGGTCTTTAATTACAGCAATTATTGTATGAAATTAGATTTCAGCTTCGCACACTTGACATTTAATTATGCTTTTGTAAAAAAAAATCTTTTTTTTTTAAAAAAAAACTCTGCAATACGTCTCCTTTTATGAGCGGCTTCACTCTGCACTCATCAGACACGGTGATGGATGGTGAGAGAGAAAGAGGGAGATAGAGAAGGAAAGGGAGACAGAGAGATGGAGAGAAAGAAGAGAGACGGGGGAGAGAGAGAGAGAGAGAGAGTCCTGTGTGCGCGTGTGTGTGTGTGTGTGTGTGTGGGCACGTGGGGCTCGGGAGCGAAGCTCTGTGTACATCGCAGTGGAAAATAATAAATAGCCGATTAATTATTAAGCCCTCGACTGTGGCAATAAGGCAGCTCAGCAAACCCGAGCGCACGGCGACCGATTTCAATGGAAAACTCGGGACAACTTCGGTGGGAGAAGGAATATTACATTCAATACATCATCGGCTGGTTTGCCGGAGGGAAGATTTGGTGGAGACTGTTTATCTTGCGTACACACGCGCTGAAACATCTCTCACAGATAATTAAAAACAAGGCACCTTTTTTTGGGGGGGGATTGGTTTAAAAAAAAAACAAGAGGAGATAAATAGACAGAAAGTGTTTACTCCGATGAAAAATGATTTCGCAGCCCGGCGTGGGCGAGCTATTGCGCTGAGAGACGGGGGCCGATCGCAATGTGATAGATGCCAGTTAATTAGCAACAAATTGCTCTATAACAATGATTACTGGTGAGATGGGGTGGAGGGGGGGTCAATTTGATCCCTTTCCTTTCCTTCGCGCCTCCCCCCCCCCCCCCACCTCAACTCGTGTCCTATCCACTCAGCCAAACAACCCACGTTAGGGGTTTGGAGTTCACTTTCTAGTTGATGCTCCATTGCAGTGCTGGGGGGTGGGGGGGGGGGGTGGGCGATGTGCGTGTGTGGGTTGGTGTGTATGTGTGTGTGTGTCTGGTGATGGGGGGGGTGGGGTTGTGTGGTTGGAGGGGGGGGGGCTACTAACATGCACTAACATGCCAAGCTCGCTGTCTGTGCCTGTCCAGGTGAAAGTTGTGTGTCAGCCTGGCTCGGTGGTAAAGCTCTCGTTCGGAGTCAGGACCTCGTGGGTTCAAGCCCCACTTCGGGACACGGAATCACATCGTCTAAGCCGATGCTCGATTGCAGCGCTGGGGGGGGGGGGAGTGGGGGGAGGAAGTGGGGGGGGGGGGTTGTCGCAATGTCGGAGGTGCCGTCTCTCAGATGACATGTTAAGCCGAGGTCCTGTCAGGTGAAGGTTAAAGATCCCGTGGTGCCATTCGAAAAGAGTAAGGGGTTTCGTTCACAAAATACAGCCACTCCACTTCACAATACATCCTGTGAAGCGCTTTTTGAGACGTCACAACGATGTGTCCGAAGAGCTCGGACATTAACTGCTCAAAACCCCTGAGCACCCCCACCGCAGCCCCACCCTCACACAGACCCCGCCACCCCTCCTCCCACCCCACTCCCTCTCCGCTCCCCCCGCAGCTCAGTACCTGATACTCGTTGGGCCAGAAGGTGCTGACGGCCAGCTCCGCCTGCAGCCACTGTTTGCCAAATGACCGGGACATGTTCCAGACCGGGCTGCCGACCGGACCCCCGTTGACCCGCACGTACACTGCCAGGGACCCCGGGGCTCGGCCCTCTCTGCTGGATAGGAAGAAGCTGAACTGGATGCAGTGGGTGTCGTTCTCGCTCAGGCTCGGCAGGATGAAGTGAGCTCGCTGCCCCGCGCTGTGCTTAGAGGAGTTCACCAGCATGTAGGAGCCTGTGACAAGAGCGAGAGAGAGAGAGAGAGAGGGATGGCGGGGTGGCGAGAGGTGGGAGAGAGGGAGAGAGAGAGAGATGGGGAGGGGAGACCGAGGGGGGAGAGGTGGGGAGGGAGAGAGAGCGAGAGAGAGAGAGAGAGAGAGAGAGATAGGAAAATCAGCTTTTTTTCACCCAACGCTTTCCATTCCTGTCAGTAATACATTGAACTCCCAATAACTCGTTGCACCAAAGGAAAAAGGTATCTCAGTGACCAGTTAGGCATATGTATGAATACATCAATAAATGCGTCGGGGATATTGTCAGCACGAGGACCAAGTTATCGGAGCAGGATTGCTCGCCGGAACCCCGGAAGAAATTCCCCTTCCCTTTAAGTGCGGCGGGAACCTTGACACCCACCCTGACCGGCAGACACGTCGACAAAAGCAGTCACTACACCTGACTGCGATCGTGCGTGGCCGGGTGAAAAGCTCGCGGACTTTGCGATGCGAGTTTCACGGCCAAATTCTCCGCCAAAGTTTCCGCCGAAATGAGCTCTTTCTCTCTCTCGAAGAAGAAGAAATCCCAAGACTTAGCAAAGACATCAGTTGCCGTCCAGAGCTGAGTGTGTGTTAACAGGGGAGGAAATGAATCCAAGGCTCAGTTGTTCCCGGAGAAACGGATCCAGCTGTGGCTTTCTTGGAATATCACCTGGATTCCTCCATTCAACTCCGGCCTCGTTGCTCACTCAGCCGCGCCACGGCAAACAGTCAGTCTCACCGCGTAACCAAACGCGGTCAAATAATGGGCACAGAGAGCCACCAATCACTGCTGGTGCTGTCACTCGACTGTGGTACGTTATACATAAAAACCCTCGCACTTGATACTTGACGACGGGAGGACTTCTCAGAGCGTTCGACCGAATTTACTGTAGAGTGCAGGCACACGAGACAGCCCGTTTGTGCACAGCGACCGACCACGAGAGGCGGACACGCTACCGACTGAGCCAGGCCGCCACCTCACTACGCAAAGCATCACAGGGTTTTCGAACCAGGCTAAGGGAGGGCTCTAGCTGAAGGATGGAATAGGTGGTGGTAATAACAACAACAACAACAACAACTTGCATTTATATTGCACCCTTCGCACCGGATGGTGTCTCTTTGACAAGAGTGACAGGAGATGTGCGCCAGGGGTGGTGCAGGAGTTAACAAAATATAGCTCACGAAGTAAAACAGACAGAGATTTAAAGAGGGAAGTGACACCGATCAATAGGTAAAAGGATAGAGCCTGAGATAGAGAGATGATAAAGATAGAGATTATCACAGCTATTGATTCTGGGATGACAGAGATACTGATAAAGACATAACCATGAAAGAGAGAGAAAGAAAGTAAGAGTGAGAGATTGAGGGCAGAAAAATGCTATGTCAAGTGCGTGGATTGAAGCCCTCACAACGAGCCTGAAATCCTCACTAGCCTCGGGCTTCGTTGCGTCGTGCATTGGATGTCCGCACGGACTAAAACCAGCTACTCAAACGGGTCAGGGGTTAATGCCACGCTCATAGGGGGAGTAATTCCTTTACGTTTATTACGAGTCCTGGAGCGTAGCGGTTAGCGCGCTCGCCTCGCAAGCGAGAGGACCCGGGTTCGATTCGATTCCCGGGCCGGGCGAAACCTTTGGCAAGTTTCCTTACTTCGCGCACACACCTCTGTTCACCGAGCTGTTAGGAACCCAGTTGTTAGTCGATTGGCTTTCCAGGGGGTAATAATGAGTGAGAGCGAGCGAGCGAGAGAGCGAGAGAGTGAGAAAGAGCATTGAGACAGAGAGAGAGAAAGGGAGAGAGAGAAAGAGAATGAAAAAGAGAGCAAAGAAGGAACGAAGGAAACGTAGGAGAATGAAACAAAATCTGCAGCCAGCGTCGAAGGCAGTGTGAGCAGGTATCTCTCAAGACAAATGGGATGCAAAATTTGTTTCGCGTCGAACCAAGAGGTTTGCTTTCAAAACAACATATCTTCAATGTAAAGTATGTTTCCCGCAGGCAGCTTGGATTTGGGATCAGGACAAAGCGAGGAGATTAACGCTGACAGCACACTCTCATCGCTTTCGAAACTTCTTACTTCTTTAACTTGTTTTTTTTGGGGGGGCGCGGGGGGAGGGGGCGGGGGCGGGGGGGGGGGGGAGATTCACAGAGAAAAGCTTGAGGCAGCAGTGCTGCGATATCAACATCACAGCAAAATGATTCTCAGGAACAGACACTTTCCCCACAGCCCTTTCAGCACTGAGCTGCGTGCAGCGAGGAAAGGGGGTGGGGGGTGGGGGCAGAAGGTGGGGGAGCGTAGTGGGGAAGATGGAAGCGCTTCGAGGCAGGGTGACTGGGGAGATTTTAACTCGTCTGGAAGGTAATAACTGCGCTCCGGTATAAATAGTCAAACGTTACCTGATTCAATCACCGGAGGCGGTCATGACGTAGACAGCAAAACACTTTACCAAACCGCAAACACAGTCACTGATACTGCGTACATCATCTCCCGGTTACACTGACTGCATCCCTGGACCTCTGCTCCGTCTCTGAGACCCCCTGATCAAACTCCAGCCCTCCCCCCCCCATATTGTTTCCCTCTTCATAAATCCCCCCTCCTTCCCGTTCCCCTCACCCCCCCACCCTCCGCCCACAGGCGTAATCCTCTCAGAAGCTAATCAACGACTGGAACAAGGTTGCCAGGACAAGTGGTTGAGGCCAAGACACCGGGGACTCCATTATAAAGCGGTTTGATGCTGTGATGGGCGGGGGGGAGGGGAAACGGTTGCTGTTGTTGGATGAGATCAGACGGGCCGAAGGGACCTCTTCATCCGAACTGATCTTGTGATCGACTCGCAAAGTGCCGTGTCAAACACGAGGATATATATATTTTTTAAAATCCTGTGCTAGGGGGAAGGATAATCTGCTGCAGCGTTAGATGGACAAGGCAAAGCTCCCAGGCAGAGAAGGGAATCAGTGCTCGATCGATTCAGCGCTGATTAACCTTTCCGTCACAGCCCTCGGTCTGCTCATTGCCACGTACCGTCACCAAAAACAAAGACCCCCCCATTAAAAAGCAATCCACACGCCACGCGGAACAACAAGTGCATGAGCACTTTAATGTGCGATGATTAATTCTTGGGATATTGTCTCGTCTTCATTAGCTGTGTAAGGTTCGCTCCTCCGATCATTAGGTCATCAAAAGTCTCTCAATATAATTGCATCTCATTGCCAGATATCTATTGTCCCACATTTATTGCCTTTACACCCAGTCCACGCAGCTTCTGAGTGACGTCTCCACTAATTACCTACAAAAGAAAATCATCGCTGCTCGCTGATGGAGAGGAAGGGAAGGGGCAGAGTATCACAGCGCCGTTCGGTTCGTCTCCTGGTTGACAATTCCCCACCGCCATATAAAAATCGGTCACTCGCTTCATGGCTGTTTGCGGGGAAGTTGCTGTGCGCAAATTGGCTGCCGCGTTCGCCCACAAAAGACAGTCACTACACTGTACAGCACTTTGAGATGTCCTTACGACATGAAAGGAGCTGTACCAAAGTTAAGGATTATTATTATTATTATTATTATATTATATATTCTGATCCCATCTGGGGGCCAACAGGGGCTTTATAAGGGGATTTGATAAAATAATAATCTTTGTGTTTGATGTAGCGTCTGCAAAGCACAGACCTTTGTGCTGATTATGATATAACAATAATCCTTGCATTTTCCTCATGGTTGAGACATCTCAAAGCGCTTCACAGGTGGATTGATAAAGTGCAGTGACTGTGTATTTTGTGGGCGAAACGCGGCAGCCAATTGCGCACAGCAGCGTCCCCACAAACAGTCGTGGATCGAGTGATCATTTTTTTTTGGAGGGATTATTACTCCCCAGAAAGCGATCGCCGATTGACTAACAACCGGGGTTCCTATCTACTGTTCGGCAAAACAGAGGCATGAGGAGTAAGGAAACTTGCCTAAGCTTTGACCCCGCCCGGTAATCGAACGCGGGTCCTATCGCTTGCGAGACGAGTGAGTGCTAATCACTACGCCACGGGAATCCATGTAATTACTGTTAACTGCTGTGACCATGGATTTTGCAGGCAAACCCGGCAGTCAATTTGTGCACAGTGAGGTCCCGCAAACAGCCATGAAGTGAACAACCAATTTAAATGTGGGCCGGGACACAGGAGAGCAACTCCTTCCCCTCTTCAATTAGTGTCAGAAGATCTGACCCTGAGCTCCCAGCAAAGATAAGACCCCTGTTCTAAGGTACTGAGCCACCCACTCCCTTGCTTGGTTGAAGCTGAGATCCGCCAGTAAGAGTAATAAATCAGTACATTAGGCATATTTTAATGACAACACCTCGAGGCTATTAAGCCCTTTATCCAGTTATTTCTATTAATCAAACGCTGCCGAGACTATGGGCACTGAGGAAATGTTTCCTAAAGGATGGCCCCATAAATAGAGAGTCTATTAACTCCCAGCACTGCATTAGGGACACATTAACTGCAGTTCCGAGAGGGCGTTGTGAAATTGCTGTTATAACAGTCATGAAATACTTCCAGGGCTTCTGCAAACAGTCAGTCCACTTTATAATTGATATCTGACACCAGTATTTTACTCCAATCGCACCCTGATCCTGCCTCCCCCTCTGGCACAGTTGTAGCAGTAATCTGTCTTGTGTTTCACAGCCGTATCCATAATAGTAATAAATAATAATGCTTGTATTTGATGCAGCGCCTTATCACGTCATTGAGACGTCTCAAAGCGCTTCACAGATCATACTGTAAACTGGATTGATTGTATATTTATGGGCAAAACGTGGCAACCAGTTGCGCACGGGGGTGTCCCGCAAACAGTCCTGGATTGAGTGAACCAAACGAGTGGAGGATTTTCCATCGGGTGGATTTGCGTGTAAGTGGTGCTGACTGTTGGTTGGATGGATGGAGCCCAGATCACAAACGAGACAAAGTGTCCTGACGGAGCCCTGAAGTTTGCAGGGGG